GCCAAGAGTATTGCTGTTTTTAGAAGGAAGGAGAGAAAGAAGTCATGTTCTTACTTGGGAGATGTTCCCTGCATAGGTTCTGAATTGGATCAAATTTCAGTGGAAAAAAATAACCACCAGCTTTGAGAGGGAGCTGGAATTTTGTCTGGTTTGCACATCAGAAGCAGTCGTGAAGGCCTGTGTAGAGGATCACATTCTGCCCTTGGGTATAGCTTGCAGCCTGATTTTCAAGGTAGTGGGCTTGAGGGATTGCAGTTGTGAGTACAACTTGGGCTGCAGTGTTCTGATACTGGGCAGAGAAGAACCCCCCCCTTTTCAGAACCCAAAGTGACAATGGGTCAGCCTCTGAGATTTACGCTTCTCTCAGGTCTTGTTCACTCTGGGAGATGGTAAAGCACTTCCAGTAAAGCAGCTATAGCATCTTCAGTGTGGTTCCTGCCACTTCAGTGAAACTCTAAACTAAGTGTTTTTTATCTCCTTTTCAAAGATATCTTTAGTGCATAGAAAAATCTAAAATAAAAAGGAACATATCTACATGTTCTAGGTGCCCTTGACATAATTTAAAATTACAGAAAAAAATAGTCCCCTAATAAAAATTATAATAGCCAAGTTGCTCACGTTGACTTAAGACTTTTTGAGGAGGCCTGTCTTATGGCTGTGTCTGTGTTTATGGTCTGGAGGGATGAAAGCAGCCTTTGCAGAATGTGTGGGTGAGCTTAATATGAAAGAAGGTTGACAGTGAAGGTTTTTTGAAGCCTGCAGAAAGCATCACTTCTATTTACTACAGCACTTGTCTTGCTCTGTCCTGGGAAAAGGCTGAGTTTCAGCACCTGAAGAGTTCCCAGTACCAGCTGGTACTTGCTAGAACTTGCCAGCTGATGACTTGAGGAGATTCATTTCGGCTTGGTAGCCTGATGGGAACAGCTGTGTCCAGACTCCCAGTCCATTGAGTCCCATGCCAGGCATCTGAAGACTAAGCTTTTCCTGCACTGGATTTAGCTTTGAAGATTGGAAGAGGCTTAAGTGTTTCTCTTTGTAGTCAGCCATGGAATTCTGTGCTGTTGTTCATTAAGGAACATGTCACTCCTCCACTGAATATATTGTGATTTCCAGAAAGGCAAAGCAGTAAGAGGCCAGTCTGATGAGCTTGGGTCCTGGGTTGGTAAGACTTGCGAGCTTTTTCAGCATGAATGCCTGTATCGTTCACTAGTTGCTGACAGGAGGAGCAGAGTTAGTCACATCTGGTCCAGTGAGTTGCTGCAGTGCAGAGTTGTTGGAAAGGGAACATTTTGAAGACTGTCTGCAATAAGGAAGAAGCAGAGAGCACAGTCAGGATAACTTCAGTGTCCTCCAACGGTGTCAAGTGAGAGACCGCATCAAGGTGGTGACAGCTAGCAGTGGGCTAAGAGTTTCCTTTGACAGCAAAGAAATTGTAACAGCACCCTGGTAACTCCTTAAGCATGATTCTTTGTCATTTTCCCTTCTGCATGGGCTCTGCCTCTGGCTATCCAGAGTGCTGTGTAAACTGTGTCCTCAAATGTGCAGATGTAGTCAGTGGCTGGGACTTGCGTGGGATGAGGTGGGGGAAGATGATGTGCAGCCTGGGCTTGCTCTTGCACCTGTTGAAGCTAAGGGAAGTTCCCCATTGCTTTTGTTGCATTTGGCATCAGGCTCTAACACGTGGAAAATGCAGTGGGGGAATGCTGACTGTGCTGTTTCCTGCTCCTGGGATTGGAGACTGCTTTTGTTTTAAAAGTAGTAGTTTTATCACCTGCAGGTCTGTACTGTAGTACAGACCAGGCTAGCACCACCTGCAGGAAGAGAGAGCCTGTTCCCTCCACTGAACTAAACAAAGCCTAGCTCTGGGGCAGTGGTTCTCAACCTCCTTGGACTTGAGGCCTTCTCTATAACTTTGCAAATTGAGTGGCACCCAATTTAAAATATGTAGCCGTGCTTACCTCCTTGCAGAGAGGCCCAGGCAGTGGGGGCAGGGGGTTGCCCAGGCAGGGAGAGCCTCTGCCTGCCCTTATCTGCTTATCTCTTCACACCTCCCTGCTTGCAAAGAACTTTTTTCTGACTATTTATTTGGTCTAATAAAAGATATCACATCTATCCAGAGAACCCTACTCACCCTTGGAGACACCCTTCAAAGGCTCTGGTGGCACTGTGGTTGAGAATCACTGCTCTAGGGACTAATAGAGGTACAGAAGTCTGGGAACCAAGAGAGGCACAGAAAATCTAAGTGTACCAAAGGCTTGGGTTCCCTCTGCAAATGAAGCACAAAAAGAACTAGATTTTCAACTCGTGATGCTCTTGGGCCCTGACTGTACTTCTGTCTGCCCCAAATCCTGCAGAGTCTACTGGCCTTTCTTTTCACTGTTGGCCTCTGCCCCCTTCATTACACGGCACCTGAGAAATTGGAAGGGGTACATGGGAGAATGCAAGCAGAAAATTCCTGCTCTTGCATAATATGAAGCATAGGAGACCTGGGTTTTTGGATACTCCTTTGTTTGTGCCTTTGTATTGCTGGTCTCTGGCTTGCCGTAGGGTCAGAACTCAGCCACCTTTTGTATATTAAGAGGTTATGCACAAATAGGTGGTATTTAGTCTGCACTTGTCTAGGGTGGGTCTTCCAAGAGCATGGCAGTGGCTGTGATGTACAGTTGGAAGGCACTTTCAGTGGACTTAGTTTGATCTTTCAGAAGAGCCCTAAAGAGGCCAATAGGCCTAGACTTTTCCCATTTTCTGTAGAAGGCAAGAAACTGTAGATGAGAGGTGCTGGTGAGTAAAAAGTGGCAAACCATGAAATGTTAGCTGTGGATGTGATTCCTTCTGTTCAATAAACTGCCTGATAGCATTGTCACTGATGCAGCTGTGGGCTCTTGTCTGCTGAGGGTGGAATGCTACTTGTGATTTTGCAGGAAGTGGATCAAATGCCTGTCAGCTGGGCTGCAGGGCATTGCATGCAGCTCCTGTCCCATGCTAGGGATACACAGTTCACTGCACTTCCTGGGAAGAGACTTAGCTCCACCACAGCACAGCAGCACTTGTAGATCAGCTGTGACCAATGCATCCTTGCCAAGCCTACTTCTCCATGGCAACTAGATGCAAAGTAATCCTTGGGATTTTGTTTAAGACTCCTGGAACTCTGAACCAGGGAAGCAGGCCTTCCTGACAGACTGTGCTGCAGTGGCTCCCCAGGCCTGGGCAGTGCTGGCCTCATGCAAAAGGTGGGGCCAGACACCTGCCTCACATAGCTAATGTTGGCATTTGCCTGGAGTAAATGTGGGGAGAGGAGGGGAGGGTGAGAGTGGAGGAGAACATGCTTGGGCAGCTGCATAAATGAACTACTGCTTCCAAACAGCAAAGGGTCTTAACTCTGCCATCCCTGTCCAGTGGGCCATCACTGGGGTTGTTGGCATCTTGTATGCATTGTGGTAGGAGAGGGACCATGGAGATTAATTCTTCAACAGAATCATGCCTGTATTAGAGGTAGCATGGAGGTACTTTATTGGAGAGGAAGACAATTGTATGCTCAATGCTGGGGATTGCTGTTGGAGCACAGGGGAGGAGCGACATAAAAGCAGCAGATCTGTAGGATAGGGTAAAGATGTGAAGAATCTTGTAGGTGCAGCGAAGCTCTGATTTGATAGTGGCTACTCCTCTATTTGGGAAGATGGGGGGAATCCAGAAACATGGAGACCAGGGTGGCAGGGCAGGGCAGGAAGAGCTTTGTCAGCTATTTAAAATCAGTTGGGGGACTGTAAATTACTGTTGGTCCCAGGAACTCGAGTTTCCTGCTGAAACGAGCAGAAGAGGAGTTTGCTTTCTCCAGTCCCTGACCTCTGGGCTCTTCTGACTCCTGGCAGCTTGTCAGCATCTGTGAAAAGCTGTTCTCAATAAGGAGAGATGTATCTTTGAGTGGCACCCTAACCTTGGGAGAAAGAGACTGGGCTGCTTGTTAGGTGTAGATCTTCATTGTGCTGTTTTGAATCTGTGCTCTCTGTTGTCGGGTAAGCGTACGGCACTTGGAAGAACCGTCTGTTGTCCAAACAGTACAAAGCTGACCAGACTCGGGTATGCCTCCACTTCTGATGGCCTGTTGTGATGGTAACTTAAAAGTTTTAAAGAAACCTTTGACATAATGGTGCCTCTTTAACCTGCAGCATATGCATGACACCCACCCACTTAGTGCTGATGTTAGTTCCAAGGCTGGGTAAGGAGCCCTCGGGTCTGTAGCCTTATGCCTTGCTCCTCTCCAGGAGATTTACCCTGTGTTCTTAGTGCACACCATATGTCAAGGGACCTTACAGTCACTTCTGGGGCTCAGGCCCTTGGAGAAAGGAGCCTGTTGCCTTGTTCTTGCAGTGCCCTATGAATGGAAAAGCATGGCAGCTTGGGGCTTTGACAGTAAGGCAGGTATTAAAATTTTAACAGCAAATTTCATGCAGTTATACCAGAGATGCCCTTTAATTTGTGATGAAAGGGGCTGGGCCTCCAGTGCTGTGTAGCCTATCAGTGTGAATCGTTTTGCAGGATGTTCTTCTGCAGTCTGTTTTTACAGGCTGCACTTATTGCGGAAGTGATGCTGCTTGTGTGTGGCCTGTGCCTCTGCACCAGTGGGGGGGACGGACACTGCTCTGTAATGTTGAGTAGATCCTGACAGGTGTTTCCTTCTGCCAGCCAGGCTGGGGTCTCAGATGCATGTGGTTTGGCATTCTCTTTCCAAGAGTGCTGCCTGGCAGTTGTATGTGAAAGAGCCAAACCAGCCCCCCCCCCCCCCCCCCCCCCCCCCCCCC